TTTCGTAAAAAGACAAAAAAATGTACTTATTTAGGTCATCCCAAACAACCCCTAAGATTAGGTAATAGTCGTCCCTATGAGAAATTAAAGCATTCGATTTTGGCCAAACAAACAGAGGATTATGAGTCCCTCGGAGACAGTTTTGAACAGTGACCCTGCATCTTCCTAGTTTAATCTCGTTTTAATTTTTGAAATAATCACAGCCTTAAAGTGAGATTTTTAAAGCCTTTTTAAAATGATGTTAATTATACCAAAAGGGGTGTATATATAGCAGAGTCAAAAGGAATTCCTTGACAGCTGCTCAAAACAGCTAAGAAAGTTGGAAAAGGATGGGGAAAAGAAAATAAAAATAAAGAAGTCTTAAAGGAGTGAAAACTTTTAATATGCAGTTGTGCACTCTCTAGACACATAATAATAATTCTTTTAGACTTTCAACATATGGAAAAATGTGAATGAAGCTCATGAAAATTATTGTTAATGGATTTCCATAAAAATAAAATAAAATATTGTCGTTTTGTTCAATGGACACCTGCATCTATTCTCTCCTACAAAGAGAACATCATTCTTATTTTATTTTTTTTGTGTGTGAATCTATATATTATATAAAATGAGATTTTTAGTGAGAAATGTTTTCATAGATCTAAGGTTACAAATTAAAATTTTTAATTTTTTAATTTTAAAATTAATTAAAAAAAGTTTTTATTGGCTAATTCTCATTTAATTGTTAAAAAATATTTAATATTCCTTAATTTATGACTTTTAAAATGAAAGTAATTTAATCTATTTCAAAATTCAAATTAATATTTCTTGATTTATGACTTTCAAAAGAAAAATAATTTAATCTATTTCAAAATTCAAAATTAAGTGCCAATAAATATGACAAATAATCTATTAATTTAAATTTAATTTTGCATGACATAAATTTAAAATTATAATACAAATTCAAATTCAAAATTATAATTTAAGTTTGATTTTAAATTCAAAATAATCTATTGATTTACGTTTGATTTTATGAATTTTAAATACAAATTCAAAAGTATCATATTACCTCATAATTTTTTTGTATCATCCTAAATTTTACATTTTTTTTATGATTGTATAAATCTTTTTAAAAACCCTTACTGATTAACCCATCATAAAATATTATATTATTATATTATATAGGTAGGGATGTTATAAATTTTCATTTCCAATCTATACAAATATATATACACGTATCTTACATATGTATTTATATATATATATATATATATAAGAATAGTTTAGCTGATTCAAATTCGTCTTTTCATTCTGATTTTACCTTTTCATTTTAAATAATTTACTAATAGTGGTCTATATGTTGAGTGTGAGATGTGTTAATTACGTTTGGAATAGGTTTGGTAGCTTGTTTTTCAAACTTTTGTTGCTCAAATTTTTTTCCCATCACTTGAGCAAAGCTTCTTGTGCTTGAGTGATCTTTGTGAAACTCCAGTACTTTTACTGGTCTGCAAAAATACTGAGAGTTTGTATTCTTTGCTCGAACGAATCTTCTTAGGTTCGAGTGACCACCTTTGTCTGCAAATTACTAGGAGTTTGTATTTTGCGCTTGAGCGGTAAAACTTATTGTGTTTGGTCGCACGAGTGACAAATCTTGCGCTTGGGCGAACTGTGCGTATATCAGTTCGTAAACAGGTCATTTTAAGTCATTTTTTCATTTCACTCTCTCTAAACATTCTGAAAACCCTAGATCTAGACACTTTCTCTCTTAAACTTACCTTCTCTCTACAAAAACACCAAGATCTAGTGATCTCTCCACCCTATTCCCTTTATTAAAAAGGTATAACACTCCGTGGGCTCTCATTTCGTCCGAATAAAAGTGGATTTCGGCTTCTTTGAAGTTCCTCCACTCTCTCTTTGGTCTTCTAACTTCAAGATAGGGATTCTCCACACTCTAGTATGGGTTTTGTCTTTACTATTTGCTATTTCAAAAGAGTATGATGGTTTGAGGGTTTTTGGCAAAAACTTAGGGTTTGAAATCAAAATATAAAAGAGGAATTTTCAAAAAGTTTCTTGAAAAATGTTGTGATTATGAAATTGGGATTGATATATGTTGAAATGAGATATTTCTTGCATTGAAATGGATTTTCAAAGAGACAAGGGTTTTGCCGTAAAATGTAAATATTGAGATTATAAAGAGAACATGGAATTGATATTGAAAATTGTGAAATTAAATTGATAGTAATGATGAGGGTGGAGTTGGATATGTATTATCACTCTTATTTGAGATTTTGGAAAAGTGTTCTTTAATGGAAATTTATTTATTTGTTAGAGATATTTGTTTTTGGCTATCGGTGGAGGATAGTTGTGATTGTTGTAGAAATTGCATGAGGATTAGGCGAACTAAAACTAAATTCTCATCCATTGTATTTTGAGCATGGTTGCATATTGATTAATACATTGAAAATGTACTTGACTTCGATAAAATGGGTGAACTTGGGAAGAAGGTGTGTATCACCAAAGTTTAGTTGGCCTATGTGTCCAGGGTGAAAGTCCCAAAAATCATGCGTATACATGGGTGTCGATCCCGCGGATGAAATATCCGTAAAATGAAAATAGTAGTGATTGCATGGACTACGTTTACATGAGTCCCGTTTGATGGTTTCTCGCGAACAAAATATCTGTGAAAGGCTGTACTTATTGAGATTCACAAAGTTGTACTTCATTACCCTGTTTACTGTTGTAAAAGAGATGATTTGATGAATTGGGATATAAACTTGGCATGGCATAGTTTTGAAAGAAAATGTAAAACGTTTTGACACGGGCATTGCATATGCATTCACCTTATGGCATTGTCAAGATTTATACATTATGTTGTAGTTTTTCTACTAGACTTTGGCTCATCCTATGTGAAAAAAACCATTTTAAGGTTCTGGAGATATGCCTCCGTCAAGAATTTAGCTTAGGAGGACTGTGGAGCTAAAGACTCATTGTTATTATTTCGTATTTAAATTTTGTACAAGCCTAGGGCTTAAAACTCACTTTTGATGTACCCAAGCATTGACTTGGAAAGATGTAAGCCATTAAGGCACATGATCATTGGTTTAGCTTTCCTCTCTATTCATTATCTTTTAACACATGCTGTAGATTCAAGATGTACTGTTTATAAATGTGCATGTGTCACTTTTTGTATACCAAACTCTAATTAATGAAAGCTCATCATTTCATTTATATGCTATTCATTGGTTGTTATGAGATGGGTGTGTTATATTTATTTCGGGATGTTACAGAAAAAATGTTAAAGACTCATAAATTCACCCAAAATGATATGATAATAAAATTGGAGTCTATATCATTGGTTGTATAACAAATCAAAAAATGATACATACCATACCACATAATTCTATTATATATCTAATGATTTATTCTATTCAATTTCATGTAACAATATTTTAATTTAAAAAAAATTATCAAAATACAAAACTTTAATATACTGTAATAATAGCCCGTGCCTTGTATGGACCTCTTAAAATAGTATATATATAAGAGGTGCTTTGTTGCTTGTGACTTGCTTTTATTTTTTTCCTATTTTACCCTTACCTTGTTTTGAAATTGCTATTTTACCTTGGTTGGTGAAACAATTTGGTTAGTGGCATTTTGAAAATTATATAGTAAATTTTGGTTACTTTGGTGGAGGATGTTTATCTTAGGCTGCCTATTTTGGGGAAATTCTATTTCTACACACCTAAGTAACTCAGACCAAATATTTTCTCAATACACACACCTATTAATTTATTTATTGATTGTTTTGCTCAATCCACACACTAAAAATTACAATTACATCATTCACTCAAATATTATTGTACACGCACTTACCCCTCCTTTTCACACACCTTTTCAAATATTATTGTACACACACTTACCCTTCATTTTCACACACTTTTTGAAAACTTAAAGACCAAAAAACTTCCACCCACGTGAAGCTTGAACACCAGTATGAAGACCACGTTCTTGAGCTGCCCGTGAACTTGAAGACCTCCATTCAAACCTCTAATGTCTAACTGTCCATTGAAGCCATCCATGGAAGACCTCCGTGAAAACCTCCATTGAAAACCTCTAAAATAGTGTTGAAGGTAAAGAATCTTCCTATTTTGTATTTATATTTATTATTTTGTTATTACATTTTATCATTTTTAAAATAGTGTTGAAGGTAAGAACCTCCAATGTTTTTATTTTTTATTTTTAAATACATTGATTGATGCCATGGCTATCTCTATAACAACAAATTCATTTAGGCTATATTTAGATCATGATTTCAGTAGGGATTCATCACTTTTCTATTCAATTTTCTATTTCCTACACAAATCCTTCTTTCAAACTTAGCATTTCAATTATTTGATTGTGTCTCGAGATTCTTGTACTTTGAAATTTCAATAACTATATAAGTGCATTAAGATAAAGCATTGAGAATTTTTGAGACGAAGATTCATTGGCTGTTTGTTTCTTTTTCTTTTTCTTTTTTAATTTTTTTTTAATTTTTATATTGGAGATTCCTTGACTATTAACAAGTGATTTTTTGTATAAATGATCCCTCAATATTGATGGGTGCCTAAGTGCACTAGTTAACACTTAATTAAATTGGATAAATACATTATTCCATAAAAGTGAATAAGTAAGGAATGTATAACTTTAATGCTTTTGAAACACTTGTTAGTTAACAACCAAGTCAATAGAATCATAAATGAGTCTAGTTTAGTTTTACCATGAATCTAGAGGAGAGGGAATTAGAGCTCCTGGTTGAACATTACTGTAGACAGCCAAGTCCCTACATGCATTAATCCATGATTTTGAACAATTGCAAGGACCTCAAAAGTTATGTACTCCAAAAAAAAAAAAAAAAAAAAAAACCTTTAAAATATGTAAATTCAAACTCACAAAATGCATAGCGATGATCAGGTGACCAAGAATATAGTATTCTAGTTTGTATTTTCAAACTCACAATTTGTATTTTCTTAATGACCAAAATGCATATCCTTACTCAGCCATTTCTGAGAGGGCCAACTGATCCATCAATACTAAGAAGTTTTAAAAGTCATGTTGCCGCAACTATTTGGATTGGTACTGATGAAAGGGAACCCTTGAAGTGTCATAATCACTCGTCTAAGATTCATTCGTGGCCGTGGTCGGAACAAGGCAACAACACTACATTTGTAAACATTGTGAAGATGTCAGGACTTGTACAGTTAGCTCGTTGCACATTCCGCTTTGTCAACAAAATTATAGTGTCTAGTTTTGTTGAGGGATGGCAACCAGAGACAAACACCTTCCATTTGACTGTTGGAGAGATGACTATCACATTGGACCATATTGGCACTATCCTAGTGTCACGCCCCGACAATTTATGTGACACAAGGAGCAGCGTGGGCGATATGCTGAAGGCGCTGGAAGGTTCCAGAATGAGGGAGACCAACCTAGAGTATGCTGGAAGACTCTAGAATGTGGTAGAAGGGTCCGGAGTGGCCTGGAAGATTCTGGAACGTGGAAGAGCCTTGGAGTGTCCAGCAGAGCCTGGATGGGTCTGGAACATCCTAGATTGTCTTGGAGAAGCCTACAATGTACTACACTAGTGTGGAGAGTTCTAGATTGTAGTAGATAGGGTAGTTGTCCTAGATAGTTCTATGGAATGTTCTAGATGAGAATTTGTAGCCCTTGGATCAAAGTGATCCTAGCCGTCCATTGAGGAGGGGAATGGCTATATAAGGGTGAGGGGTCTCATTTACCTAGAGACCTGGAGATCCAAGAGAGCTCTAAGAGTGAAGCACTTGTGAGTGTGAGTGTGAGAGCCTTGTAAGCTTTGTGCACGACTATACTTGTAAAAGTTAACTTGTATAGTGAAGGCATTTTTCCACCTAAACTATGTGTGTTAGCGTGGTTGAGTGGCATTCTTCCACCTAAACTGTGTGTGTTAGTGTGGTTGAGTGGGTAAGGCTGACTTAGGTGCAGCCAAGAGGGTTGAAAGGCATCTAAGGCCGCACGGTAGGCTTGCGAAGTCTAAGTCCGTCACACTAGGGCTTCCCATTGTAGGAAAATCTGTTAGTGTGCGTAAATTGTCAGAAAGGTGGGCCATTGCATTAGTAGTTAATACCTTGGAAATTGATGAGCAAGAGGTCAGGCATGAATTGTCTAGTGCTGGAGGCAATTCAGTGAGGCTTGAGTGGTTGAGGACACACTTTTATAATGTCACGGACAATGGTTTAATGGAAAGAATTGCATGTGCAGGTAGAGCATACTTGTTATTTTTGTTGGGTTGTACATTTTTCAATGAGAAGACTGGTACTGGGGTCCCTGTTGTTTATTTGAGTTTGTTGTCCAATTTGATGATCGTATCTACATATGCTTGGGATACTGCTGCATTCGTATATTTATATAGATAGTTGGGGTACGGTAGCAAGTCTAGCGTGAAACAAATAGCCGGTTACACGACACTCCTTGAGGGATGGATTTATGAGCACTTTCGTGGATTCTAACCACACTTGAATATGAATTAAACTCAAGACATGCCACATGTTTACCATTGGACTTCTCGGAGAGAGTCTAGTGAAGAGACACGGTTGCAGGCTTTTCAAGAGGAGCTTGCTAGGTTGGGTGTACATGATGTAAGTTAAAAAGTACTTCAAAATTTGAAACTCTATTTTATACAAAATTTACATTTGTCATATCTTACAATTGTTAATGTTTGTAGGTTATTTGAGACTCGTACCAGAGTAGCAGAGATGTCCATCCGTGTCTGTCACAACCCGCTCCTCGTACCCAAGGGTTAAGCATCGTGATGGCCAGTAACTGAAGTTACCTCTAGCCAATTCTTGAACAAATTAATAAACGTGAGCGGAAATAATATTCAAGTGAGGGTATCAAAACAATCATTGGAGATTCTATTTTTATTACAAAATTTATTGACAAAAAAAGCCGATATTTACATATAGAAATATCATAAAAATGTTGTGTGTGTCTATTCCGCAGCCCCTCATCTGAGACTTTCCAAAAGCTATTTCTGAATTGCATTGTTTCCTGAAAATTGGTGAACAGCTACAAGCACATGGCAGAGTGAGAAATATTATGCCAATAGTATAAGGGACACAAAATAACCATGGATAGTTATGTAACTAAAATATTTAAGATAACTTAGTCTGAACAAATAATTATTTAAGTAGCAAAACTGAGATTGTGTAAATAAATAACCATAACCACGGTACAGAACAGAACAGAACAGAGGTCATAGGAGTGACAGTCAAAACAGAAGTACGGATTCAAGAGGTGGCTCGTACGGATTATAGAGGTGGCTCCCACAATAGTGTAGCACTTATCTCTGCACAGCACTTTGCTCCACGCTAGAAATCAGAGGGTCAATGGATCCATGACAAACAGAGGGTCACAAAGTGACCAAACAGAGGTTAATGGTTATTTAAGTCCCCGAAGGCGTGTGACTCCCGTGGTGGTACTTACAAAACATAATTGTTTATAAAGTCATTGTCAAATATTCTTTAAAATATAAACAAACATATCAATGAGTTTCATTTTAACAAATAGAGTTTAGAAATTAAACCACGTAACTGAAAATATTAATATAATTTATAATAACTTATAAAACATAACTTGTATAAAATAAATATGGTACAGAATGGAACAAAACAGATATATGGACTCAAGAAGTGGCTCGTACGAACTCTAGAGGTGGCTCCCACAATAGTGTAGCATTTAACTCCGTATAGCACTTTGCTCCACACCAGGTGTCAGTGGATCCATAATAGACAGAAGGTCACAAAATGACTACTTAGAGGGTTAATGGTTATTTAAGTCCCCCAAGGCATGGGACTCCCGTGGTGGTACTTACAAAACATAATTGTTTATAAAGTCATTGTCAAATATTCTTTAAAATATAAACAAACATATCAATGAGTTTCATTTTAACAAATAGAGTTTAGAAATTAAACCACGTAACTGAAAATATTAATATAATTTATAATAACTTATAAAACATAACTTGTATAAAATAAATATGATAAGTTAAAACATGCGTAAAATATATTATGGTAACTCAAAGTATAATATAACTCACCTTAATATTGACCCTGAGCCTTTCTTTTACTAACACAACCTTCCTATTTACATACCTCTCCCTTCTTTTCTTTTCTTTCTTTTCTTTTTCTTTCCTTTCTCACTGATTCCAGTGATTCCATGGCTCTTGATCAGCTCTTCCCCATTTATAGGGAAGCAAGAGTGCTCTGTGGGCGACACGTGGTTGATCTTACTGATTCTCAAATCCTTTTCCATAACTCACCCAGATTGCTTCATTAAAACCGTAGATTAGTTGTTATCTAAATAAATTTTTTAAAGATAATTACATTTTGGCCCAGATTCTTAATATAATTATATAAATAAATCAATCCCTAATTAAATTACACTCTATCGTATACCAACATAAAATTAATTATTTATTTTACTATTACACCCATTATTATTATTATTATCATTATTATTATTATTGTTATCAATATTATTATTTATTTACTCTTACTTTTATATTTATTTATTTATTATTTTTAACTTTAATTTGGCTCAACTAGTATTATAATTTCATATTTTTGTTAATTTGGCTCCAAATAATAATCCTTAATTAATCCCATATTTGATAATCCAATGCCAAATTAGATTCTGTATTTATTATTATTTATTTAATAATATATTATCACATATAACCATAATACTAGTATAAAATTTAAGAAACAACTTAAATTTTCGGGTTGTTATAGTGTCACCCAATTACGTTCTATCACGGTTGCCTAAAGTGTTTGGAAGTAGTTGAACCATGTCACTCTAATAGAGTGTTGAGACAGTTTGGCAGAGTGCAGACAATCCTTAATCCACCACTTAGCCCTATGTGTGCTTCTTGAAGAGCCATAGCTTCACGCTATAATGTTATATATGCTTACTTAGACATCATTTGGGAGGCATGGGACAACCATGTGTTATCTGATCGGAGGAGAAGTACACCGGTACTTCAACCTTGGGATTGTGTTCCTGGATACATGGATTGGTACCAAACTATTACCCGTATGTATGTTCAAAACCTAACGCGTCGTTCTCAGGTGGACCCGAATATTTATCATTATCATGATCCTAGCCACGACGCACAGGTATGATTTTTTTTTCATTTACATTACAAATTGTTTATATAAACTGTTGTAGGTTTGTACATAATGTTGTATTTGTTTTCGTAATGCAACGTATGTCACAGATATATCAGATTACTTATCCTTTCATTGAGGCTGGTTATGAGTACATTGTTCAACATCCTGATAGGTTTCACTACGCAATTAATGCAATTGAACAGCTTCTTCAAGATCAGCACATTACTGAAGCTGTGCGTAACACATCTGCTCAAGGTCGGTCTGCACCTAGCTCTTCCATTGCCCATTGTTTTGGAGCACATTACACTCGTTAATCACGTAGTTGATAGTAGTTCTTAATGTTAGCACAAGTAGTTGTTGATGGTGTTGGTGGATGTATAAGGAGACATACATTATTATTATTTTTGGATTATGTACTTTTTGTATTATGTGCAAGGAGACGGGTATGCTGTGATTATGTGGATGGATTGAAATATTAGTTAATATTATTATTTCTTTTTAGATACTTGTTTAATATTATTACTCTTTAACAGTAATTGCACTTGGTTAATATTATTTTCATTACGTTTTGTGTTCAGACAATGTAAAAATATCCAATTGCATCCATTCCATAAATAAGAGAACTATAAATCATATGATATTCTATTTAAAAAAATGACCATTACAAAATCCAATGGCAAAATGAAATCCAACTCGTTACCTCATGCTATTAAATCATAAAACTAATGTCTTAAACCTCTCATGACTACTGTCTAATGCATCAATCTATGTCAACTACATCAAATGTCTCTCCCGTAAACTACATTAGGTCCTATGTTGTCTTCGAATTTTTAAATGCGGCTAACATATGCATTCTCCCATTCTGATACACAATAGTGATGGTGAACTCGCCAAAGCACAACAATGGGAGGAACTAGATGACTGGCCTCCAAAAATACCTGGCACCTACATCAAAAAAATTACATATCTTTACCAAATCCATCAAATTTGCAATTATTAAACAACAATGTTTGGTTATTTTCATAACTTATACTTGCATAAAATGATTTTCATTGACAAATCCAATGGCAATCTCGCGACGATCAGCTAGGGTTACTGGCGGTGATCTCAAAGGTAAGAAAATAAGACACTATTGCAATGACAAGTGGTACAAGACTACATTATAAAATGATGCAATAAGATGCCCCATGTCAGGCATAGTCATCCAACAATAAAAGCTTGGGCTGTCTTCAAAATATGAAAGGATGTGTGTCAGCTTCTTAACCCTCTCATGCGACCCATATAGTACGACGTATTAATTTATGTGA